TACAAGTAACCTTGTTCGACCTTTGACTAATTCTGCAATCTTTATCAATCTCCAAAAGGAATAACCGTGGGACTTCCAAATTATTAAAAGATGTTTTTTTATCAATGAACGAGTATTATATGTTATATCAAGCTAACACATATGATGGGTGTTTAAATGTGACACCCATTGAAGATTAAGGTGAGGGTGAACACACCTGGAAGTCTTCAAAATAGGCATGAAAGCGGCGAGAGTTGAAATTGGAGATTAGTTGTCTTCAAAGAACGTATAATTATCCAAATGGAATACATGATACCAACTCAGGGTGTAAAAACGTTTTCAATTAATCAAGACTAGTCTCTCTACTTAGTTTGTTTGCAAAATATACCCTAGTTGAGAGTGTTTAAAGAAATTGTGATATGAAAGTACAGAACAACATAATAATTTACTTTTTTTTTAATTTCAATTTTCAAAATCATTAATTATGCTCTTTAACAAATACAATTTCAAATTTCAAAATCATTAATTTGACATTACACGATGTGTCCAAAAAACCAGGGATGTAATCCCATAAAATTAAAGCTACTATTTTAAAGCAAAGTTTTACATAGACGTAACAGGTAAACGAACAACAAGTTATGCATGATAGTTGGACTATAATGAGGAGCTCCACAACATCCGACACAAGGAAACCGAAAGTATCAAATGCAAAAGTTATAAACGTGTGTTGATTTTCCATGCAGGATTTCTCATGTTTTGCCACTTTGCATGATGTAATTTTTAAAGCAGTTTGTCCCACAATGAAAACTCCATCCACCCCAAGCATACAAGAGGGGAAACCCTATTAGATCCACATATACATGCTTCCCTCCATCCGATCCAAAAATTAAAACATAAGCTGGTCTAAGTGTTGATCTTCCTTCCAAAGGGTCAATCGGAAAGTTTATGGGTGCCTCTTTCTTGGCAAAAACCCCAGCAAGCCTAAATATGTCGAAAAGAACATCCATAACCAGATAGTGTTGTTACTTGAAACTCGAGAGCTCTCTATAATGAATTTCATGCTCCCCAAAGGAGTCCAAGCATGCCTTGCGACAAACAAGGCATGTCTCATCAGCCAAAAACAAATGGATCATGTGGCGATACTAGGATAGCACGATACTCCACTGGTGATATATGCTGGCCAAGACCATCAATAGGAATAGCCATAAGAAAATCCTAAGCATGTGGTACCCTTTGACACTCAAAAACTGCTTTCTATCTAATCGTCATGTCGAACTGAACTTTCATGTATTTGACAATTTTACTAAAAATGGCACTTGCCAATGAATATTGGGCTTTTGGAGGGACGATGTCTTTATTAGTGAAATCGCTGAAGTCAAAACCCTAAATCGTATCACGAAGACATGCCAAAATACAAATATAATCAGAATCCATATCAAATATGTTGCTATCTCGTAATATATGGTCTTATAACACTCACGACTGAGCTCGTGAGATCACAAAATCATAGGACCAAAAATAAAGGTCAAATTTTGATTATGTCACTTATTATGTATTTCATATTTTTCTATATAAATGTCAAATTTTTCGAAACAAAAAAAAAATCTAATTTACCATTGAAAAATATGTTTTTAATGACCAAAAATAAGTTTTAACAGTTGATGATGCATTTGAAAACATGACCAAGTTTTAAAGATGGTGATATTTTTGCTATTCTTACTTTACAAGAATGGCAATATAATTAAGAAAAAAAAAGGGTCATTTTGGTGAATATCTCGTAAAGTTATGTGACCATCTAATAAGGACTAAAACTGTAAGAAAAGAAAAATATTGGATCTAATCTGGAAAACACCGAAACACATTGGACAAAAAAGTAATTTAGTGTATAACAATTTTTTATACGAGTGAGAGAGTAGAGTGTAGTTGGATCACTTTAGCGCCACAGATTATTTTGGCCCTGTGTTTCTCTCAATCCGAATCCCATTGATGGTTGGAACGTGAAAATTCCAACTCAAATCCAATGGTTTTCTCTTTAAATTCATTCGTCGGCTTCACTTCGACGGTATGTTATCGTATTCGTTCTCATTTCCTCGTTTGATTAATGGTTGTGTTTCTACTTATCCTTTTGGCGTTTCAGTTTGATTCTTGTTGATCGGTTTAGTAATAAAACCTTTAATCTAAACTCTTTTATAATTCTGCTATCGTGATTCGGATGACACAAGTTGGAGGATTTCATCCTTTTTCACTTTGATTATAATCAACGCATCATGTATGGACTAGAGAAAAATTAGCACCAAAAATGGTTTAGGGTTTCAGGAGTTCGTTTAACAACTCATGGTGCTCAAAATTATCTTTTGAATCGATTTCTATGGTTTCCGATAAGATTTTATGGATAAGGAGTTTCCTGTATGTGTAACATAGCATATTCCTTCTTCTTTTCTCTGACAACACTCTCTGGATCGATAAACTCATACAATTCATGAAACAAAATAGTAACACAATCAACAAAATGTGCTTTTATCGTATTTAGCTGACAAATTCCACATACATATACAATCCATTGAAAAACTTTCTTCTCAATATCATTATCAACTGTAAATACACAGGCTAAGCATCAAAATGTCTCAAGAGAGTGCATAGGCCTAAAAGCCAGCCATTTCCCCTCTTCTTCTACATCACTTGTTTTCAGTAGAAGACCAATACATACAAGAAATCAAAGACCTCTTTCAGTTTCAAACAGCGATAGCGTTACAACAGAAACGACCGAAAAGACATCAGAAATTCCTGAAATTTCCATTTCCATCAATCAGTCACTTCCCACTTCTGAATCTGATCCTATCACAAAGACAAAACCCGATGAGGCTGCTTCTAATGGATCCATATCTTCTCCTTCTGAATCTGAACCAAAAAGATCAAAATTAACAGCAAGAGAGAAGCTAAAAGCAGCTAGGGTTCGCAGCAGATCCTCAGAACCAAAACCAGTTAAAAAAGCAGAGATGGGAAGCAAAGTGTTGGAAGCTTTGAGGGAAAACGATAGAATATCAGGGAAGATGAGATCAGGTCTTCCAGAGGCACCTACAAATTTGTTTGATGACAGCAAACGTGGAATGCCCAAAAAGGGGTTGACATTTGAGCTACCAGTTGGATGGGATGTGTTTCTCATTATCCTTTCAGTCGTTTTGATAAGCACTATCATGTTTACAACTACCTTCATTGTTTGGAAGGTGGGTGCCATTCATTTCAACGAGAACTAGCATCTTCTTCAAACCAAATCATATATGCTTCAATGTAAAAACTTAGCTCCCCTTTATACATTTCATTGCTATAAAGCTTCTTTCTATTCATACCATCTTGTTAAAAGCAAACTTGTATCAGTTATATGTGTAGAGTTATTGATCTTTTGTTAGATGCGTGTTTTAAATCCATAGGATGGTAGGATACTAGAATCGATCTGCTCATACATATGGTCATTATTAAGCGGGGTTTAATCTTCATCACAAAAAACTTTCCAACTTAAGTAAATAAGGTTGAAAAGTTATTTATGTTAATCCCACATAGGAGAATCGATAGATTTGCTATCCAAACTCTAGAACTTGATGATTTAAAACAATTTTTGAAGTACAATGTACGAAAAAAAATGATATAAGTCAAACAAATTGAAAAATTCGCTACCATTTATAACAGGTAAATTAAACAACGAAACAACAAAGTTTATACACGTTTTTGAAATTATGATTTAATATTTAACAGAGTGTAATAACTTAAATAATTTTTTTTATTAAAAGATATGTTATTGGTTTTATTTTTTATTTTTATTGTGTAGAAAAAGAAAAGTATAAGTTTATTTGTGAGTGCAAGCAGTTGCTATGGTCAACAATCACGGCTCGTCGACCGACCTCACTGGTTTTTTACTTAATTCTTAATCTAATTATTAGTTAAACTCTTCCCGTTGTTTAAAATTAATCTCTAGTAAACTGTTAGTTTTCTTGTTAAGCCTGGACTATTATTTTGTGTTGGTTGAATAGGTTATAAATATGATAGCTAATAATAATCTATTAGCTTTTAATTGTAATTTGTAATCTATTAGCTTTTAATTGTAATTTGTAGAAAAAAGGGAAGGGAGTTGCATTCACTTTAAGTGGTATTGTTGGTAATAGAATGTACAATCTAATTAAATATACATCAACTAAAGTCAAGTCCAACAAACATGGTATTGCTGGTAGTAGAATGTACAATCTAATTAAATATACATCAAATAAAGTCCAAATCGAATGTACAATCTAATTAAATATACATCAAAATATACATCAAATAAAGTCCAAATCCAACAAACAATTTACAAAATAGAATAGAATTATCAACTCATGTACAAGTATAACAAGGGTGTGGTTTGCTTTTTTTTGGCAATGCTGTTACAACTTGCATAATCAGATTCAGTTGCAACCAACATAAGGTAAGATTTGGATGCCTCCCGAATCTCAGATTATTGTTTTATAATACCACCCGCGCACCAATTAAATATAAATATCATATTTTTTTATATAATTTATATAAACACAAAAATATATGTAAAAATTATAAAATATATTGCAATTTTTATATCGAGCCCTATAAAACGTATAAAAATACAAATCGTTGTAAAATTAAATTGTGGGTAACAGAGTATCAGTTTAAATTGTGGGTAACATATCGTTGTAAAATTAAATTCTTAACAATATGCATTGATAAAGAAAAAACAAAAATTAAGCCAAACAAAACAAAAGTATTAGGTGAAGCAAAGTTTGTTAGGAATTTAATGTTAGTTTTAACCGTCTCCAAATAAAATAAATAAACGAAACAGACGCACGAGCAGTTTATGGTTCATGCCAACTACTCCCCCTGGCCTTCCTGAACGGTTAAACCTAACCTCTCCTTCACTTCTTCTTCTTCTTCTTCTTCTTCTTCATAACCCCCACCCACCCTCCATCCCTCAACCGTTTTAATTACACCCATCTGCATCACTTCAAAATTCAAAACATTTCATGGCGGCATCAGACGACGGCGGAGGAGGAGTAGTAGGAGGCAAGATCAAGGGATCCTGGAGCCCACAAGAGGACGCCACCCTCATTAAACTGGTGGAGCAACATGGACCGCGCAATTGGTCCCTCATCAGTTCCAGTATCCCAGGCCGATCTGGAAAATCCTGCCGTCTCCGGTGGTGCAATCAGCTCAGCCCTGACGTGGAGCACCGTCCATTTACTCGTGAAGAGGACGACGTCATCGTCAGAGCACATGCAATCCATGGCAACAAGTGGTCCACCATCTCCAGGCTCCTACCTGGACGCACTGATAACGCGATTAAAAACCACTGGAACTCGACTCTCCGCCGACGAGGCGTCTCAAACTCCGGCTTTGCCGTTGCTGTTGCGAAACGACCACTCACAGATGGATCCAGCGAGTCAACCCAGTCGGATCATCTTCCTGAATCCAAGAAGCAATGCTCCCGTAACTCCGACCACAGCAGTTGCGACGGACCTCCGACGGTTCTGACGCTTTTGCCACCCGGGGATATCAAAATCAAAACGGTGGAAGAACAAGTAATAACAGAAAAGAACGCAGAGGTGGATGATGACGTGGAGGAGAAGTCGACGGTGGAGATGGAGAACACGTGTCTGGTAACGATCATGAAACGTATGATAGCAGAAGAGGTTCGGATTTATATTAACGAACTAAGATCCAAAGAAGAGCATCCTTCGTCTTAGTTCAAAGTAACTGAAACGCTCATTCACATTTCCATCTTTCATTTTACATTTCAGATTCGGATTATTAAAATCGATTATAATATATATGAAACATAATATATTTTTATAAAGAATATTTGGAAACTTTAGATTGTAGGGCTTTACCCAATTAAGGGAGCCCTTCCAGAAATTCTCGATGGCCAAGGGAGACCCAAGGCCAAGGAGGGGGTTTGGAAATAGTTTTCAACCAGCAATTGACGCGCCTCGGTTATTACCTCATTAGCTGCGTCATTGCCCCAAGCGCAAAGATGCCTCATCACGTTGCCCACATCTCTCGTTTTATAGGCTCATCTCCTCACCCATTTTTCGTTTTTCAGCGATGTGGGATGAAACTCATATATCATCTATGTGCTTCTCAATCCACCTCCTCAAACAATTCCTTCTTTCTATTCGAGTTATGGAAAACTATAAAATAAATTTATCACAAAAAGTTATTTTTGTAGAAAAGAAAAGACGTCTTCGGAAGTGTAAACGTGTAATTTTTTTTAACCTTTTGATGATGGTCAAATTTGTTACAGCTCTTATGAAATTATATTATTTGGATGCTTTAAGTAGTAAAGATTTAGTAGCCAGATATGTTTATCTAAGAGTGATTTTTTTTAAAGAACGTCAATGAAAAGTGATTATTAGTTTATTACCATCTCAAATCATAATAATCTGATAATCTATCACGAAATGCATCTCAATCGCCTTGTAATGTTTTATTATTACGACTGAAAATGGAAAAGTTAAGATAAACATTTAATCGAAATATAAGTAATGAAAAAAAAAAAAAAAAAAACTTCATTACCATATTCGTTTCATGGTAATAAACATTATGATCGTGTATTCTTTTCATGGTTGTTATTATTATAAATAAAAGGTAAAACATGATTTCATGGTTATTATTTTGTGTATGGGGATCTTTCTCCATCTTTCATTTTGTGTTTCTTTTCTCTTTTCCGGTGATGAAAGCACATTTATGATGTCATATATTTTGACATCATTAAAATGAAATTGTCATACAGCTATATACTGTCAACATTTCAGTCTTCACTATTCATCGAAACAAATCTTTTGACTTTTGCGTTAGTTTTCGATCGAAGCTTCCATTGCAACTTGTTCAAGATTATAGATGTCAATAAAATTCAAATAACAACGCTTCATGAATTTCATAAATTAGAGTGATATTGGTCCTAAGAATTTGTCTAAAATAAAAAGATAATTACAAGAAGTAGTTTATTTTGTATAGGTATATTTCCAGAATAATCATTGGCACTTCCTTTGTCTGTCAGATGTATGTGTTTACCACGAGAATAATTTTTTTCATGTAAATGTCACTATTTTGTTATGATGCTTGTAGTAAAAAAAATAAAAGAAAAACAAACAATGAATTGGTGGGGTGAGGAGGATGTCACAGTCTAAGAAAGTTCAACTAGTACTTTATGTTGTGCAAGTTGCATATATAGAAATCACAAAGAAAGGCACCAGAGGAAATGCTATTAAATTGATCCTATACACATTGTTCATTATACATACATACGCATACGACTTATTTAATTGATCGTATACACAATAGATGTTCATGATGCATATGCATTATTTAATTGATCGTATACACAATAGATGTTCATGATGCATATGCATTAATGCGACCATCTCAAACAAGGAAATTGATTGCAATTCACATCATTTTAACAATAATGGTCGATCAATGACTCAATAAGTTTGGGGGTTCTAAGCAAACCAACAATTTAAAACCCTTTTACATTTATTATATTTAATGTTATAAACCTTCATCTCCAATCCAGACTTGCGACCGGCAATAATAAACTAAAAAAAAATTAATGGCGGAGTTAATTTTTTTTATTATGTATATGTTTTTTGTGAATATATTTAAGACATAATTATTAACTATTTTATTAATAATAACAATCAATAATGAACAATCACCAAGATGGGTGAGGATTTAGGATTATACTTGGAGCTTGTTGCCTTGAGATTTGAGAATAGAAGTATACAAGATAATAGAAATTGGAAAGATCAAATCTGGAAAACTGAAAAAAAAAAAAAAAATACCATTTTGTGAAACAATAAAAACTGAAAATAAAGAGAAAACGGATTGAAGATAAATTATTTTGTATTGTAAACGTGTAATCAATGACCAATGAATAATTCACAAAGTGTAACTGAAAATATAAAATATCATTGCAGTGTAACACAATAACAGTGAACTTTGAGTTTGGGAGACATCAAAAAATTTTGAACAGTAAACTGATAGAGTTTACCTTCAGTGATAGATAATCAGATGAGTAGATGACAATAAGTGGTCTTTCCTTCAGAGATCAGAATGTTGTCTAATAATCGATCATATTCATAGATTGTAATGTTTTGATTTTTAAACAATGGAGTTTGCCTACAAAACTACAAATCGTGAGAACTGAGGAGTTATCAGAATGTTGTTATGGAGAGCATGAGAAGCCAATAATGGAGGAGGCTATAATCATGATCATTAGAGATTCACTGATTTAGTGTAACGCCCCGATTCTCAGGTATGGTAAATATGAGTTTTTGGATTAGGCCCTACTCGACGAGTTGGTTTACCTACTCATCGAGTAGCAGTGAGAAGGATCGCGAGTTAAGTGACCTACTCGATGAGTCCATATTGCGACTCGGCGAGTAGGAGCTGGCAAGTGAAACCCTAATTCCCGGGGTTTGCACCCCTATTTAAAGGGACCTTAGCCTCCCTTGGACCTCCTTATAGTTCCAAAGAACCCTTAAGAGCCTTATTCGTGTGCGTGTGTGCCTTGGGTGTATGTTTGAAGCTTGAAAGAGAGTCCTTGGAGGGAGAAGAAGATTGAAGCAATTGGAGTGTGGGAATCAACACTCATCTCAGATATCAACTTCAAAAGGTACCCAAACCGTTATTCCCCTTATAAATCTTCTTTATTGGGTGAGTTTGGGGTTTTCATTGATCAAGTTGGTATGATGAGTTATAGGCTAGATCTGAAGTTGTAACTTCAGATCTGGACTCTTTTTGGATTCTAGAAGCATAAAGTTGTAGCTTTAGTCGTGATTGAGGTTCCCTTTGTGCATAAAGACCCATCAATAGCTTAGATTTGCCATTTTGAGCCTTTAAAGCCATGCATGCACGTAAAGTTTGCAACTTTACGTGATAAGCATGCCCTAGAAGCTTGGATCTGTGAAGGTTGATAATGTCGGTTGTGAGACCTAATCCCTTGATTTATGTGTTGGAATCGAAAGGTATAAAGGGAAAAGTTATGGATTGGGCTTCTTGTGAGGTTTATGGACTTATAATTTTAGTTTGGTATGTGATAATACAAAAGCAACTAGAAAGGATTGTAGGGCTCTTCGTTACCTTTCCGTGCATATAAATAACGCCGAAAACGGAGTTGAAATGAAGAAATTATGGTTGTTTGAAATTGAAGTGGAAAATTGTAACTTTTGAATTAGGCATGACATAACTAAAAGTTACGCGGGGTGTAACGAGGGTTTAATGAATTATGTAGAGTATAATTTATGTTACGTATGGCGTAATCTTGGCAGATCAAAACCCCAAATCTTCGGTTTTGAGCTTTATTTAAGGGATCTAACTTATGAGAAACCCTCTCATTACCATCCTCCATCGCCTAAGATCATTCTTTGAGAAACCCTAGCCTCCTCTCACTTTTTTTTGAGCTTTGGCATCATTTATGAGCTTATTTCTCCACTGGAAGGTTAAATCTTGAAGAACAAGGTGGTGGTAAAGTGTATAGAAGAAGAGTTCAAGTACAGATCCAACAAGATTGCATCATTCCTGGACTATTGTGAGTAAAAAGCTTCTAACTTGCTCATTGGTTTCATAGATCAAGTTATTTGTCAAATTTGCCACTTTTTGGTCATTTTAGTGCATGCATTATAGATCTTGAACTTTATGACCTTGTTATGGATAAAGTTGGAAAAATTATCCATCTAAACATCATAATGATTCAGATCTGCAAGTTGGAGACCCAGACTTAATGGGTTAAGATGAGAAAGATGTATTTTTGGTCCCTTTAAGACATAAATACTAGATCTTGGTTTGTTTGAACCATCATAATGGATAAAGTTGGAAACTTTATCCATTATGGAGCTAGTAGGAATCAAATATGAGCATTAACTAAAATGTCTTAATGTATTAAGTGCTTAAAATAAAGTTTGGCTAGGGACGCCGTAAGTAGGGCGTAATCTGAGCTACACCTAACATAGTCTAGTTCTTGTCCGTTTTCTGGATAAGACTCTACGTCTTACGTAGTGTAAGACGTATGCCACACGTAAGTCAACGAAAGGTTGACCGTTGACTTTTTGACCAGTTTGACTTTTTGACCAGTTTGACTTTTTGACCAGTTTGACTTTTGGTCAACTGTGAGGGTTGAGGACTTAGAAGGGGAAAATGGTCTTTTGCCCAAATGAGGAATTATCTTGGTATTGAAATTGCTAAATTAGAGTATTTTATTTAACTGCTAATTAGGGGGTGTTTTGATATGTATAGTGTGATGAGGTTCTTAGACCAACAGCTCAGGTGCAAGAATTATCTGTTATCCATTGAGGTGAGTCTCCTCACTGTAATAGTGGGTTGAATGCACCAATATCGACCCACTGGATCATGTTATGTAGGAAGACTAGGTGGTGGCCCTGGTAATTTTATGAAAAGACATGGATATGGCTCCCAATAATTGTTTGAAAAGACATGGATATGGCTCTCGAAAAATTGTATGAAAGACCTGGATAGGGCTCCCGAAAAATTGTATGCAAGACTAGGGTCTGGACCCTCGTTGTGTGTTGGAATGGTTTTAATTATTTTTGTACATCTTTATTAACTAGGGGTGACAACTATCGACCCAACTGGAACCCGACATTGACGCGACCCGAAAATAAAGCGGTTTAAGTTGAGATTTTTGACCAGCCAACCCGTTTATTTCATGGATTGTGTTAGGTTATAT